GAGATTACCTGGGGAGAGCCAGACCTAATCAGGTGATCTTTTAAGAGTGAGTGGAACCGATTTGAAGTGTGAGAAGGATTTGATGTGAAGGAGATTCTGGATGTGAAGATAGAGGAGGCCACATGGCAAGGAATGAGGACAGTCTCTAGGAGTTTACAGCAACTTCCAGCTGACAGCTATCAAGAAAATGAGGACCTCTGTGCTACAGCTGCGCGAAACTCAGTTCCGCTAACAGCTGGCAGGAGCTGGAAGTAGACCTTTCCCTTGTCGAGCCTCCAGATGAGGGCAAAGCCAGCTGCACCTTGATTTGAGCCCTGCAAGATCGGAGTGGAGAACCCAGCCACACCCGGCCTAGACTTCTGACCTACAGACTGTGAGCTAATAAATGGATGTTGTTTTAAGCAGCTAAGTTTGTGGTAATTTGTTACACAACAGTAGAAAATGAATACAATCATTTCACAGTCTAATACTAGTAGTGATGATTTTCTTTTGTGTGGACATTCTGGGACCGAGGTGCAGCTCAGCAGTCACCTAAGGGCTGGATTCCTTGGCAGGAGAAAGAGACAGTGAAGAGGGCATACTATATCCACCTCTGAAAAATCTGGCTTGAATGCAGCAAACATCAATAATACATGCAGTGCACACGAGAAGCAGTGCCCATGGTCTCTGTAACAAGGTTGCCTAGTGAAGGAGCTTTTCTCCGTAGATTTGAGCATTGGAGTGCTATATTCACTGCAGTGCAGCCACTGCAGTGGCATCTCAAGCAGCATCTTGCTTGGGAATGATTCAAGTTTGTGAACTAATCTAGAGAGACTTGATGAAAGGGTGAGCATAACTCACTACATGCTACCTGGTTTTGTTTTTATTTTTACTTTTTTCAAGGTAAATTTAGTATGTAGAATTTTGAACTTATGAAGCTGATAGAGAAGGAAATGCATTTGTTTTACGTGAACTTTAAGAAATATTCAAGATGGAATATATAATCTTCTACATGATCACTCCTATTAATTGATCTGCCTTGCTTTATTCGATATCATAAAAGTCTAGACAAAAGGCAGCTATAAAGACTTTAAATGTGTGGTCGGGCAGACATTCTTCTGTCCCAGGAGGGGACAGGGAGGGGTATGGTGAAGAAAAACAGGGAGAATTGCTGATAAGACCAAAAAAGGGAAAATGAATTCCTAAGGAAGGCCAGTAAATCTCAGGAGGTATGACGTTGCCGATGAACTGGAATATTCCGCATGCTACAGTGACAGCCATTACTTCACCCCTTCCTCATCAAGAGGTCTCATCTAAATCTGTCTAGCGTTTATTTTTTCTCGGTGACACATTCCAACCCCCCTCCCTACCTCCCCCTCTCTCTTCCTCCCTTCTTTTCTCTGTCTTCTCTTCCCTCTTCCTTTCTCCTTCTTTCTTTTTCTCCCTGCCCTCCTCCTTTCTCTCTTCTTCCTTCCCTTTCTTTCTCTCTCGCTTCCTCCCTCCTTCTCACTCTGCCAGGTACTGTTCTAAGTGCTGAAAAGGTGTAATACTCACAGCAACCTATGAGGTCTGTTATTAACTCCATAACTGATGTAAAGGCAAAGGCAACTGGCATAAAGTGAAATAAGTCAGAGGGAGAAGGCCAAATACCGTATGATTTCCTTCATTAAGTAGTAGATAATAACAACAATAAACAAACACATAGGGACAGAGATTGGATTGGTGGTTACCAGAGGGGAAGGGGGGAGGGGGGAGGGTGAAAGGGATAATTCGGTACATGTGTGTGGTGATGGGTTGTAATTAGTATTTTGGTGGTGAACATGATGTAGTCCATGCAGAAATAGAAGTACAATGATGTACACCTGAAATTTTTGCAATGTTATAAACCAATGTTACTGCAATAAAAAATAAATAAATAAATAAATAAATAAATGATTGGTTTTTGTTTTGTTTATAAAAAAAAAAAAAAAAAAAAAGAGGTTAAATAATTCTCCCAATGTGACTCAGGGCAGAGTTGGGATGATTCAAGGAGCTCTGATAATGTCACTCCTCTATCCAATGCCTTCCCAGATTTTCTATTGCTATAAATTGCATGAAGTTCTAATTCCATAACATGACAGATAGCCCTCTACAGCAAATGGCCCCAACTTCTATCCCCAAACATATTTAACTCTTACCGCTTCCCTGAAAGCCCTCATGTTATAGCATCGTCAGAATACTCACTCTCTCCTGAACACAGATAGGCTTTTACAATTCCGTGATGCATACCTGTTATGTAACACCGTGCTTGCTTTGTGATATCTTTCCTTGCCTAAAATTCCTGCTTATCCTTCAAAACCCACAACACCTCTTCTGTAAAGCCTCTCCTGATAGTCACAGGCTAGACTAGTTACTCCTCACTCTGAATGCCCAGAGAAAAATGCTCACATTTCCATTATAGCACTTATTAATTATACTGGATTATTCATACATTTGTTTCACTCACTAGACTCTGAAGTCCCAAAGAGAAGGAATGGGACCTTATTCACTGGCAAATCCAGTGCTTGCCGCCAGGTTTGTGTTCACTGTAATAAGGGATATGTATTACACAAGAAAGGCATCGTTGATGTGTAACCTCCATATCACAACATCAGTAGCGTTGACCTTAAATATAAAAATTATAGAACTACAAATGTTTAATGATTTAAACAAATGTTTTATATGAAAATCTGGCTTTATAAAATTTAAAATTGGTTTATAAAAGTTTTGTCTTTCAGTTCCTCTGAATCAGGAGCTCTGCTAGTGATTTAAACATGCTTCAATTTATGAAAATGTGACACACGTACTTTTCAAAAATACTTATATTCTGTAAAGTAAAATTCATTCTCTCTCACCTTCACACACACATACACATTGAATACGGCAAACTAGTCTGTAATATCATTAGATTTTTTTCATAGTATACAACTTTGGGTTAAGAATCTTTTTTTCTCTGTAGTTTATTGATATTTATAAGGAATAAATGCTCTACTGATAAAATCAATATTAGGAGTTTAATGACCGTGCTGCATGCACTGTTAGTCTTATTCTACCTTTGTCCAGCATTATATCACATAGTATATATATACACTTTATGCAGTCGTATATATATTGACCCTCAACAATTTCTGGTTCTTTCACTTTATTTCTAAATTCAAGCATATCCCTTAGGGTAATGTTATTTGGACATCAAATATTTTCTTAAAATGATGTATAAATACACACATATATGTATGTGTGTATGGGTTGCATGTGTGAATATTTTTTTACTATATTTATAGTCTGTTCTACTATATATATGTGTATATATATAATACACACACACTGTGTGTATAGTCCGTGTGTGTGTGTGTAGAGAGAGAGAGAGTGCATATATATATACACACTCTGGGGTCCATTACAGCCCACTGTTAATATATAGTTTCCTTATCCTTTGAGGCTGGCTAATGATTTCCAGATAATGACACTGAGTGGTGCATCTGAACATGCTGTACCTCGGAACGTTAATGCAGCTACCAAACTACAAATGCTCTTCGCCGGTGAGCGCTCTGTCATGAAATCCTGAGTTGAGTGTGTTCTGCAAATTGTGTTGTTTACTCTGTTGGGATCTCTCCTGTCATTTATTTCGTGCTCTGGTGAACAATTTTGAGTCGTAATGACTGATAAATTGTGTAAGCGATGGTGCTGGATCTGTCATAAAGAAACGAAGAAAGAGCATTAAGCTGGAAGTTAAAATGTGCTGTTTTACCATGGCTTGAGGCTTTTCTCAAAGGAATAGAAACCATGTTAAAGATGAGCAGGCCCTTAGGAGCTGGTTCCAGTCTTTCTTGACGTAATGAGGGGTATTATAAGCATCTGTTCCACGTGGAAGAATTGACCTGGTGTGGTCGGGTACAGCAAGACTTAAAGGATTTGAAGAGAAGTGTGATTGGCAGTGCTGCCCCGCCAAAGAGATTTTGTTAAAATGACCCTCTAAAATCTGGATCCATTATATGTTCCTGGGTTCCTCTCTCGCATCCATCCCCCAGCCCTCTGCTCTCCAGTTAAACAGAGTGCTAGTATATTGCTCTGTGTCTATTTAACTTGTTTATCTCATCTTTACTTCAAATTAAGATATACTAGATTTAGGTTTTATGTTTTTTCATGCTTTTACTAGCTTTTTCTTAAGTGGGAAAGATAATCATGATTTCTTTTCATTGGAAACATTTTTTCTTAAATATGAAAACCATAGACCCAGTAGCCGTACATTAGAATCAATATCCGGAGGCAGGAAAAAGCACTAACAGTTTGAAAAGGCCCCCAGGTAATTCAAATGTACAGCAGGATTGGGGATTGCTGCTCAGTAGAAGATAGATATATCTACTTATCTCAAGAGTTGATATTTCACTTGGAATGCTTTTCAAACATATGAAAATCTTCCACAGATGCCTGATTATTTTACACTGTTTTCCTCTCCCCCAGTTGAGAATTAGTTTTCAAACGAATCTAGACAATGGTATCTGACAATTTGCCCCAGAATTCTCAAGTGGGAGGGATATCCTATAAGGACTGTGTATTTTGGTGCTCATTCAGAGAATAAACATTTATTGAGCATGCATGGAGTGATTTCCTCTACACTAACTCTGTCCTTTTCCTTGAATGTTGAGTGAGGGATGCTTTTTGGGGGGATTAAAGGTGATTCACCTAAAGCCCAGATATCTCTGTGTTTGACAAGGTGCCAAATATAGTCCTATTCCCCAATGCAGTTGCTCAAAATCGGGCGGATAATGTGGTGAGGATCCAGGCAGCTCTGTCTACTTAGGAAAATCAGGAAGTTTAGGAACTGTAAAAGGACAGCTTTGTTGCACTGCAGAGGATTTTGCACACAGATACCTTCAGTAATGATTAACCACGGAGTTTGAATTGATGCCAGATGAAGGAAAATGAAACCCAGCACCTGTGTGAAGCTTCTGTCCTGGTTTCTACTCCAAAGTCACACAGAAATTGTTTGTTTTTCTCCATAGGTTCGAACCAGTGTCCTACCTGAACATAAGGATCCCCTGCCAGAGGTTGGGGTAAGTGTTTCTTACGTTTCCAAAAGGCACAGGCATCCCTACAAAGTTAATCATGTAGATATTCGCTGGCCTCTTGCCTGGGAGCTGACAAATGAAATTGAGTTGAATTAACAGGGTGTGACTATGCAAGGAGGCACTGTCACATATTTGCTGAATGGCATGGAATTCATCCCTTGTCTCCTGAAAAGCATCCTCAAATGAATTCATATTTAGTTCAGCTGGCTAGAGATGAGCCTAGAAATTGCCCTGCAGGTAGCTGAGATGCGATTTGGAGCCAACATTCCTGGACCAACAGGAGGCTGGGGAAATTGCAGATGTGAGCTCTTGCACTTCAGGAAGGAGGCAGAGAACTAACTAGCCGTAGGACTGTGATGTTTTCTGTTTCCCACCGCTTAAACACTGTAATGCAGGTAAATAGAAGCTGCCACCAATGTGTGGGCCAGTGTTGGAAAATCCTGCTGAGGTTTTCCTGCTGCATCTGAACCGTCGCATCTCCATCCTTCAAAAGTTAGAAGAGCAAGAGGGTAATAGGTGCCTTTTGCTTAGACAAGGCAGGAGTAGGCAGTGGCAGCTCCTGAAAAGATAGCCCAGCAGGCTGAGTGCCCAGGATCTGTGCATTCAGAGAGGAGGAAAAAGTCCAAAATAAGTTGGGTCTAAGAGGCCCTGGTGCTGAGCCAAATGAAAGGCCTATTTGAAATTCCCTGAAATCCTACAGGCAATTGACAACATTCTTCCAGTCCCTGTGTGGAGCACTGTGCTAGGTACCATTCATTTCCTCATTGGCAACAGCCGTCACCTGAACCTGCCAAGGGAGCCCTCCAAAAATAAGCCCCAAAGTGTAAGTTGAATCGACTGAGAGAGTGTCAGCTACCTCTGCGTCTGAGAGTGAAGGAGAAGGAAAAGAGCACCTCCTTCAAACTCGGTCCTCTCCTGCAAGCTTTCATGACACCCTTAACATCGCCTTCGTAAAATGAAAGATCTTTTGAAATCTGTAATTATTAAGTTAATACCTTATTTTATCAAGCAGTTCCATTTATTTTTTGATGTTCGAAAAAGGTGAACTGCATTACTTTTTTCTCCTCTAATTGCTCACCCCTCAGCTTGTTCTGTGTTAAATCCCCCTTGCTTGAGGCTTTAAGGACATCTTGGCCTAACTGTGTAAATTTCCCAGTTTTTTTCTCTCATTCAAGTTCTTGGGAATACATTTAATTCATTTTAAAACTTGAGTCCTGTGATACTGTGATTTATAATAGAGAATACTTATTTGGTCTTTGTCTGTAGTTCTGGCACAGAGCTCCTAAAACCCTTGGAATTTCCCAAGTGTTGAGAGAGATAAAAGTGTCTTTTACTAGGTTAGTGAGGTGACTTTTGGACCTCAAGGATGGGAGCTGGTTGCCAGGAGAACCAGCTATGTGACTGGAGGGTTGGAATTTTCAATCCCCACCCCCCACCTCTGGGAAGAGAAGAGGGGCTGGAGGTTAAATCAGTTGCCAATGGCTGGTGATTTAATCAGTCATTCCTATGTAATGAAACCTCTATAAAAACTCAAAAGGATGAGGTTTAGAGAGGTTTTGGGTTGGTGAACACGGGGAGATCTGGGAGGAGGGCATGGAAGCTCTGCGCCCTTTCCCCTTACTTTGCCCTATTTATCTCTTCCTTTGTCTGTTGATTCATATCTTTTAATATCCTTTGTAATAAATCAGTAATCTGTTAAGTAAACAGGTTTCCTGAGTTCTATGAGCCACTCTAGCAAATTAACTGAAGCCAAGGGGGTGTCCTGGGAACCTCTGATTTATAGCTGCTCAGTCAGAAGCACAAGCAACAGCCTGGTCTCATAATTGGCATCTGAAGTGAGGGCCATCTAATGAGACTGAGCCCTCAACCTGTGGAATCTGATGCTATCTCCCAATAGATGGTGTTAAGAATTGTGTTCAACTGTAGGACGTTCATCTGGTGTCAGAGAATTGCTTAGATGTGTAGGGGAAAACTGACACACTGGGGACGTGCCCCGTGGCTGACTGGTTCAAGTTCTGCGCACTCCACTTCAGCTGCCTGGATTTGTGGGCATGGATCTACTCCATTCATCAGCCATGCTGTGGAGGCGTCCCACATACAAAATAGAGGAAGATTGGCACAGGTGTTAATCTTCCTCAGGGCTAATCTTCCTCACCAAAAGACTAGAAAACCCCTCACACATTGGAATTGGGTGCAAGACGCTTTAATTCTCTTCATTGATTTTAAATTATTTGTTTTCTATTTTCTCCTCCCACTGTTTCCCACTCCAGGCTATAGACATATCTGCCTCTAGCAACTTGTGGTGGAGGGGGAGCATAGTCTGATTCTCACTAGTGGCCTACCTTTTCCTCCTCTTATTGCTCAGTGCTGTGGCAAGGAGAAAGGAAAGGGGAGATAGAAGTTCCTTCTGTGCTTGCACATGGTGAAGGTGTGATTCCCTTCTGATGGTTTTGGTGCTTCTCAGGCTGATGCTGCCTGTCACAGTTCTCTGTGTGAGTGATGTTGAAATGCTGGCTCCTCTGTGAGCAGAATGTAGGTATTTCTGGAGGCCTTGTAGGCTCCTTCCCACTGCATAATTCCCTACCATGAGGATCTGATTCTGGGTCAACGTTCTCCACTGCCCAGGCTCACCCTACCCTCTCTTGCTGCTGAGATCCACTTTTCCAGCATGTGGCTCTAGCTCAGCTGCCTTCTGTGCTGTCTATTTGACCCATGTAAAACTCACATCTATTTGCCACGCCACATGGAAGAAATACAGGCTGCGCCCTGGTGTCTCCTCTCTCAGCTCAGCCATCTCTATGTTGACCCTTTCTACAAGCCCCAGCAGCATTGGGTACTAGACAGTCAATGATTATGAAAGGAGAGACACTCACTAGTCCCCAGTGGAGTGGAGGTAAAGATGGTTGGACACCTCCAAGCTTGATAAATGATTTTTTGGCACCAGACTCCCTTGATTTTAGCTTTGGCTTTGGAGATAGAGGTGTCTTCCTGCGAGTGATTGTCAGAGAGATTAGCCTCATTTTCTAAAAAGTATACTTCCCCAAATGCTGACCTTCCCCCTCTTCTAGCACTACCTTTATGTTAACTGAATGTGTCATGGTTAACAGGCCACTTTCTCTAAACTGGCTCTTCATTAAGCATTGTGATGAGGTTGATAGCTCCAACCACTGGAGGTTCTCTGAACTTATAATGTGGTGCATTTAGTACCAAAGACTCAGCTATAATTCCGGGACCAAAAGAAAAACCTCAAGTGACGTTCTGTGGCATGCCTATTGTATCCGTTAGGAATGCATTCAGAAACAAGTAACCTGACAGACAGTGGCTTAAAAGTGGCAGGCTTGTTTTTCTCATGTTAGAAAAAGTCTTGGGGAAGTTGTCCAAGACTGTAGCTACTCAAAAATGACTTCATGCACCCAGGCTCTATCCATCTTCCTGCTCCTCCTTTCTGAGAGTATTGTCTACTCTGACCATTGCACCTCCAGGTATCAAGGCAAAGGCAAAAAGCTCAGATCATCTGATCCTGTTCTATCAATTCTGGAAAACAATAACTTTGCAGGAACTCTCAATTGGTGTGCTGCCTCTTACATATGACCGAGAAGAGCTGAGTCCCTAGGTAGAAGGGAATCTGGGTACAATTGCCACTTAAACAAAATCAAAGTGCTTTTAGTAATGAAAAATGGGCAGAAAGGGTATTAGGTATTAGTAATATCTCCACACTCCTACTAGCTTTTAAATTCCAGGATAGCAAAGACCCTGTTTATTTTGCTCCCTCTATTAGCACAAGCTTTGTGCCTAGAAATTAGCAAATTATGATATATGTATTGAATGAATTAGGAAGCATACCATGATTTTGGTTTGCCAACCATCTTATATTTTTTAGAACCACCAAAATAAAAAGGAGGGGAGGTTGTCTAAAAACAAAAATAATATGGTTAAAATCTAGTACATTCTATGTCACGTCAGAACTCAATAAAATGGCAATTATATTACTAAACTAAATCTCAAGCATAATAAGAATGAGACTAAGTAAGAACAAGTCAGCATGCCATGGCTTTCTAACACCCTCAGAGTACATGATATTCTAGATAGAGAAGAATTACCACATCTTGGGCACCAATGAAGTACTACCGGCTAATAAACATCTCATCAATTAACCCTCAAAATATTTCTTTGGACACTGCAAAAAGGGTCTGACAGTTTAATTTCTTGGTCAAGGACATAGAGCTAGTAATGCTTTGCCATCATGTTAGGTCTGTAGCTATTAAGTACTCCAATTTAAAAAATGAGCTGAAATTTTGCATTGTAAATCCTTTAAATATGTTCCATACATTTCTTTGCATTCTTAAGCAGCATCTATTGGATGTGCCCAAACCTTTGTTGATGACTTGAGTCAAGCAGATACCAATCTGTGCTCTGAGAGCTTTTGAAGTATGTTCATAGTAAAGATGTAATTTTATAATATATGACTTTACCCTAAAGTTCTTTTTAATGTTTTCTTTGGACTGTTCATTAACTTTTAATAGATTTCTCCCTCATTCTTTTTTCTTTCTAATGTCTCTTTTCAGTGTGAATGGTTTCCCTTTTCAGTGTGTGTGTTTCTCTTCCTATAGGTGGGAAACCCTGTCACTATATCTGTTAGGATTGACAATGAAGATAAAGTACCTGGGTTATGAAAAAGAGCCTGTCCTATAAGTTATGTGTATGAGATGTTGTGTATCAGCCTCACCTCACGATATCAACTTCGGATCTTTGAAGACCTTTTAAAACCTACGCAGTTCCCGTATATAGTTTCATGAGAATAGGTCAAAGTATTATTGATAGATTCATTTAACCTCTAAATCAGCACTGTCCAATAGAAATATAATGTGTGCCACAAATGCATGCCACCTGTGTAATTTTAAATTTTCTAGTAGTCCTTGCTTTTAAAAAAGCAAACAGAAACAGGTGAAATTAATATAATTATGTTTTATTTAGCCCCAAATATGCAAAATATTATTTCAAAATGTAATCAATACAGTTATGAATGATATATGTCACACTCCTTTTTCATACCATGTCTTGTAAATCTGTTGTGTGTTTTACACTTAGAACGCATCTCAATTCACAATGGCCACAAACTAGTGCTCAGGATAACACAGCTCTAGAAGTACTTGGGAGAGACATGCAAATTGTAGTGTAAAGGAAACCTATACTCTGAATAAAGGCTTTGTGAAATAAGAGATGGAGGTTTGCCAGCTCATGGCAATGCGTATGGGGTTGCACATCCTCTGGCTCCTTATGTAGTACTGCACATCCAGGGGACCACTGAGGACCTGCTGCAGGGAGGTGTGCGATCCTGGTGAGCAGTCTGAAGATCTGTGACTTGCTCCGAGTCCCTGCAGGGGCTGGTAGGATAAACTGTTTATTTGTACACTCCCCGTAGAGAGAGGCCAGGGATCGAGACAGATGCCTTACGTTTTTCCACCCCGCTTGATACCTGTCTCCAGCCAGGTGAGTGATTGAAATTGTGCATCCGGCAGTTTAATGGTCATCTGCTTTGGGTGCTGGCACAAGAATCATCATTGTGAGTGTTTCACTGTCATGAGCAGGCAAGAAAGGTCAGAGACACATGTTGTGCAGGCAGAGAGCCTGTCAGAGGAAAGAGAACTGCCACCTGTCCTGGAAATGAGGCACAGCGTGATGGGGATGAAAGAATGCTGGACTGAATGGCAAGAGCCTGGGTTCTAACTTGGCCTTCTGCATATTAACTAGTTTTGTGACCATGTGTAAGCCCGTTTCCTCTTTGGGCCCCAGTTTCTTCCTCTACTGTCGGTCAATACCTTATCAAGCCTTAACATTCTTTCATTCCATGTAGACATTTCTTGGGCCCTGATAAACACAGGATCTAATAAAAATTTGAGCTACAAGGAATCATACGTGAACATTAGTTCAATAATCATATTATTGTTGAATTAATGTGTTCAACAATAATAACTGTATAGGGCTATATAACCTTTGTAGTTTTTTTCACTTTTTATCTAGAATTTCTTCTAATTTATATTTCCCCTGAATCTAATTTTTATTTTTAAACATATATTTCCTCCTCTTATTGCAGGCCTTTCTCATAGACTACTTTTTTTTTTTTAAATACTTTACCTTTTCCAACAAGTATCTAAGGTGGACGTGTGATACTTTTAAGTCATTTGACTTCTGGGTGTATTATCTTAATCATTATGCAAGCTAATATTTGTGGAATACTTCCTGTTTTCTAAGCAATATGCTAAGTGCTTTGTCTGGGATTGCTTTAATTCTCATAACAATAACTATGAGATAGATGCAATTATCATATACAACTTTTTCACACAGAAATGAAGGCCTAGAGTGTTGGAGTAACTCATCCAAAACCACAGATTTGTAAGAGACAAGATAGAGATACAAGGCCTAACGATGCCCATCAGTGGATCGCTGGCCTGCGGGCTGGGACAAGTGATTTAATTGCCCAGATTTCCATTTTTGGAAAATAACTGATTTAGGACTACATTTCAGATCTTTGAGCTCCAACTCTAGTGAGGCTTTATGTTTTTTGTTTGTCTTTTTTATTTTTCCCCTGATATTAGAGCTCCCAGTGTAAAACCTTTAAGATGAAAATTTTAGAAATGGCACCAAACGAGAGAGAGAAAATATTGTTCCTTGAGTTATATTTGAAACGTAAAAATATTTTTAAAAGATTCTCTTAAATTCTTTCATTATGATTACAATGACAGCAAGGATAAAATAGCTTTATGTTATTAGTTTGCATTACCATTGTGTGCTGTTTTCCCTCCATGGGAATTCAGGTTTCAGAAATAGAGAAGACTGTTTTCTCTCTAATTCATTCTTTTACCAGGAGTCCAGTGAATATTCATGTAAATGAATGATGTGTTTTCCAACTTTGGGCGTGTGGAGGGTCCTAGTTTTATTTGTGTTGAGGTGAAGCAAATACATAAAAATCTGCTAGAAAGTAAACGTATAGGCAATTTCATTGTTGGTGTTGCAATGTGAAACAATTATACATTGTCTTTATATTTGGGGATTTTATTTATGCATTTTATGCAACATGAGGTCCCAGTATACAGTTATTTTTAGAATACGTAAAATAATATTTATACCTATATAACACCTCCTCTGGTTTGACACGTTTCCATAATGTAATGCTATGATGCAATTACCCAAATTGATTTCTAACAGGTTGTGTTTTTTCTGTAAGCTCTCTCATTATCCTTTGAGATTAAGCATGTGACTGACAGTTGTGATGGAAAAGATTGACCCATGGGCATTGTTCTTGGCACACTGCAAGCACTCAGTGCAGCAGTGGGCATACCACACAGCCTCTCTGTTCTGGACACTGGGCTTGGCTCAAAGACGGACAAGCCAAGGTCCTGTGTCTGCAGGAGCTTCTGGTCTGGTGGACAGGAAAGACATCCAAAGGCTTGTGGTCACAGACTCTACTTGCAGCTGTGCCTCATGGTGCGTCTGCAGCTCATGTCTGAAAATAGCCATTCCACCTGTCTCTCATTGCTATATTCCAGTCTGGGGCATTTGCTGCTTTTATTGCCAAAAAGACCACAGTAACATTCATGGCATGTGTAGTTTGTTTTATTAATTCTAAAATCATCTATACCTTCAAAATCTCAAAAGGCAAAGAGAAAAAATGATTTGAAATTGTAGGGCATCTTGAAACTTCTAATCAGTTAAGAATTTTCTTTGAATGAAGATAAGGAGTGTGGCATGGAAATTTAAATTAAAAACCCTAATTATCATATAGAGAGTGAGATAGACATCTTGTTAAAATACAAAATGCTAAAGTGAAATTCACTACAACATTATACATGTACCATCTGCACATTATAAAATTGTTTTGATATTCTACACTTCAGTGAATTACAGTAGTTTATAAATATATGCGGAAAGAACATTTCGTCTATATCTAATAGAATAACTTGAAAGCTTGTGTCTATGCCATTCGTTCATTCATTCATTGTCAGTAAATATTTATCACATGCCTACTATGCGTTAGGCAGTAGGAGTTTATCAGAAAACAAAATAAAGTTCCTGTGGAACTTCATGTCTCAGTTTTTTTGGTGGAGGGACAAAATAAATAATTAAATATATGTTATTTAAGCGCCAATAGAGAAAAATGCCACAGGATAAGGAATAAAGAATAGCAGTGTGTATGTTGAGGAGGGGTGCTCTTTTCTATAGGAATGTTCTAGTAGGTATCTCTGGTGAGGTGATATAAATGCTTTTGTTCAGCTGAATCTCTCCTAGGCTCTCTCTGCCCCTTGCTGAAAAGTCACCCTAAATTTCTGCATACTTGGTTCCTACAGCTCGTGCACTTCCTTTTCTGCCTTAATTCACTCTCATTTCATCACTCGTTGACCTATCATCAGAGCTTGTTTCCAAAAATCCTCTATTTTCACCTAACATCCTTCACCTAATAATTTAGTCTCATATTCTTCTAGCTTTGGTGATTTGGTGTCTAAAGCAGCTCTTTGAATTTCACATTAATTAATTGGGTTTATCATTACTAACATACAGGCATCTCCAAGTTTAGAACTGAGCTGTATTTCAAATGTTTGCCTTTAAGCCTTTTGAAACAATTCCTCTAAGTTAGAGCTTTGAAAAAAGGGAGAAAAATTCTGACCTGAAGCTTTTCTTTCCTACACTCAACAATTGCTCAGTGTAGATGCAGCCCTTTGTGTACGGCATAACTGCACATCTTCCTCTGAAAAGACCCAGTTGGCCTCAGATTACTTAAGTCCAGCCTTTCATTCTAGTGCAGCCTGGCAACAGACTTATGAAGAGAGAATGTTCTGGAAGATGTAGTATTGACTTCTTGTAGAGTATTACAATGTGTTAGGCAGCAATGGCATAGGTAATAATATGGGTTTGATATTTTCATATTTCCTTCTTGACCTTGAGGGAAGAATGAGAAATCCTATTCATGGTATACCATAATATTGTGACTTTCAAATCAGAAGTAGCCAGGAATATTAAAAAGAGATGAAAGATTTTTATTCTGGAAAAGAAAAACCAGTTTAGAGTTTTATTCTTTACATTATGAGTCAAAGAGTATAGAAGGTAGATTTTCATAGATAGTCAACACCCAGTATGATAGGTGAAAAAAGCAATTTTAGGAAATATAACTGAATAAGTACTTTTCTTTTTTGTATGTTAGAATGAAATTGTCCCATGCTAATATAGAAATAACAAAGGAAACAAATGCTTTTAAACATTGCTGTGATGGGGGAGAAATATAGCATTTCTATTTATAACTTGAACAGAGTCCCACATAAAAATAGCTCCAACTAACAGATTTGCTCATATCTGGAATACAAAGTTGTTGCCGCCAGTGACTTGAGGAATTCTAATAAGAACGACGACGGCATTGGTAAATATTGAAAGTTTATCATCTTTTCTTTTACCTCAGTTTTCATATGGGAACAAAATTAGTTCATGGAAAAGTCCTGGCTTTTGTATTACACATTTTTTTTATTTTCTAGGCTATTGGTCTCTTTGTTGTTAAAAAAAAGGATTTGCACCCCTCGACCTCAGCCCATGAGGTGGATATATTACTGATGACTGTATTTCCGTCAATGAAATATTTGTCAGGCTAATAGATTTAACATTTCGTTCTAAACATTAATTTTGTGTGATTGGTGTGATAGAAAAAATATTAAGAACCTCAGAAGTTAATGAAAATTATTCTCTCTCTTTTACTTTCAGCGAAGCTTCCTGGGCTATGCCAGTTTTAAAGTGGGGGAGCTACTGAAATCAAAGGAGCAGCTGCTAGCCCTGAGCCTGAGGTAGGTCTTTTTGTCTGCAGAAATGCTGTTAATAGCCCGTCATATTTATTGATGGCTTGTTGGGTTTGAAAGTCACAATTCTTGCAGATGTTTCGATGTTAACTCTCAAATGGCTTAGGTTCTCCACTGCAACAAGTTTTAGTGAAACAGCAGTTATTCAAGTTCACATTCAAGTTCATGTTTCAAATTGTCAAAGGTTACCAGCCCTTATAGGAAGAAAAAGTATTACATAATTGTTAAAGTGATGAAATTCTTTGAAAGTAAGAAAGTAAATAGAAACGATGAGCATACTATTAAGTGATTTTTCTGTTACTTATCAAAATGTTACTTTTTAAATCAAGCAGTTTTTTTAGGTTTGAAATATGTTTGTTAGAGGCAACATTGCAGACTTATGATAATAGAGGGAAAGCTGATTATTCTCTTTTTTTAAGCTTATTTTGTTGCTATACTATTAAATATTTAATAATAAATATACAGACATATTGAAATAGACAATAGATCGTAGCTAATTTTGAGTATGAGTGCAATTTGTTTTGATATAGAAGATGAGACAACAATCTTTAGAAAGTTGCATAGTGTTTTAATACTAACAAGAGTAATAAATAGAATAAATATTTCTTTTTAAATTCATAATAAATTTAAAACAATAATAGTATGTTGTTTTCTAACTGTATAATAATTTTTAAAATTAAGTATACATGAAGAATACCTCTTGCAGTATTCGTATAGTATAAATGAATATAAAAATTGTATAGAACTCTGTAAATCTTAAAATGCTCCTCTTTTGATGAAACGTAGAGACCACTCTCTGGGCAGAAACAATGTCTTAAGTCTCTTTGCCCCCTGCCTCGGCCCCCAAAGACCCACTTGTAACCAACAATTTATTTCATTAAAGATGCTGTGGCTTATCCTGGAATCTGTACTGCTGGCTTTCTCTTTTTCTGATTTTTCCTGATCCTTACATTTTTGCATTTTGACTTAAGAGATAGTAGAAAATAATTTAAAGTAATCCATATTCACGCAGAAAAATACGTTTTGGTGGGTTCTGATGAGGCCACCGTCTTCTCTCCGGCTCCTTTTAGGCTGTGTCTCTTAAACAGCTGTTATTTTTTTGTTGTATTTTACTTGGGAAAACATTTAAAAATCTTTATAGTTTTGTGGTGTTATTCCCAATAAAATTTTGCTGTGGTTATTTTCAATTTGAAGGGTGTAAGGGCCAGCTAAAATGTCTAGCTATCAATGTCACTGACACCCTAGAAAATATCTGTTCCCAACCTAGCATGGTGGTTAGATCTGACCCAAGTGCCTCTGGATTCATGATAGGAGGTGTCAGACATTGAGCTAACTTAGAACTACTAGTGGGCCACGTGTTTTCTAGATAAGATGCATTCACTTTATTCGTCTTCTTGCTGACTCACAAGCTGCAGTGTTGACTATATCATAACTGTCATTAACATCAGCAGCACACTACACAACATTCAGACACTGCCTGTGAAACAGAAATCAGGGACCAGAAATCCTTAGTGAAATGAAAACTAGTGAACTATACCATACCTTAGAGAGAGGATAGAACAGAAGGGTCAAGTTTAGAATATTACCTTTGGAAGAAGAAAGGAATATAATAATTTCAGATTTAGATGAAATCAATACAAATTTCCACTTTTGATTTTAATACCTCTGCTTAGTGAGTATACTCATTTGATTTTGATTGTATAAAAGGAAAACAAGTTCAACGACACACAATTGAATTTTTTAGAAAAAATAATTTTTGAAAACCAATCTTGAAATGGCTAGGTTATTATTTTTTCTGTTTTTGTGCTTTGCCAAATTTGTGGATTTCTCTCCCTACGAACCAGACACATTATAGACTTTTCGTAGCCTTTTGATTTCAGTATTTCATGTTTTTTCCTTCAGATGTAATTTATCTTCTTTCCACTGACTCGGTAGTCTCTGAGGTACTGAGTTGGAGGAACATTAGGTCAGGGATAAGAAACATTTTTCAGATTGTTTGTTTTGTTTTGTTTTTAATTTTCCTTTGCACTGATAATATCTGACTTTTATTCCTTGTATATTCCAGTCATTATTTTGAAAGCAATAGATTTCTCAGATTTTTGTAAAACAAATTCACTGAAATAAGAGTGTATTTCTAGGCACCATTCTTTGATAGTGAGCTTCCCAAAAATCTGTCTAGTTCTATTTATGTTCCCTGTCCCTTTGGGTTGCTTCTTACCAGATACTTCAGGTTCCAAGACTCTCAAACTAGTTCCACAGAACACCGTAGTTTAATGTGGCTACTATGTCATAGGTGCTTTGAACTGGAATTTTTGAACTGAATTGAAATTTTTTTCCCCTCAGAAAACTTAAAGGGGCAAGAAGTGTGTGTCTGATTTGTAGATTTAGACTCAAATTTCATGAAATATGATAGAGTGTATTTTTAATGTTACAGAGTAAAATTTGTTTGCATGTATTGGGAAAACACCTCAAATATAAAGTGGTTTCTACTCATGTAGTTCATCTTCATTTAAATGCATAATTACTAAATTTCTTTCTAAGTGTTCTAGTATCCCAATTGGACTTGATATCTTTATTTAGTATTAACCTTTTTACTTTTATATTACATTTGCTTTGTTTTGCTAGTTTACATTTGATAGTTCTTGACTTCGTTTAGATCTCAGTTATATTTTCTGTTTTGTTCTTTAGTTGATTATTCCAGACTTCTGTAATATAATATAAACAAGCTAGGGTTCTTATATAGAGAATTATAATTGTAGGCATGAAAAACATTGGATAATCTTATAATAATAATAAGAAGAAGACACTATGTACTTTATGCTCTGATAAGTATATTAGAGATGTTGTCTCATTGACCCTTATCAAATTAGCCTTTAATGTTATTATTCTTGCCATTTTATAAATTAAGAAACTGAGGTATAGGGCCGGCCCTGTGGCTTGGTGGTTAAGTGCGCGCGCTGCAATGCTGGTGGCCCGGGTTCGGATCCCGGGTGCGCATCGAGGCACCACTTCTCCCTCCATCCTGAGGCCGAGTCCCACATACAGCAACTAGAAGGATGTGCAGCTATGACATACGACTATCTACTGGGGCTTTGGGGGGAAAAAATAAAATAAATAAAATCTTTAAAAAAATTAAAAAAAAATAAAAAAAAAAAAGAAACTGAGGTATAGAAAGCAGATAAGTAATTTGTACAAATTTACAACGCTTGTAAGTGGGAAAGCCAATGTATGAAGCCACACATTTCTGACTGCAAAACCTGTGTCCTTAATGACCCTTTGACAAAAGAGAAAACTGAGAACTGGTTAAAACCTATCACATATCATGTGACTTAGTAAAGGCAGAAAAAAGCAAGGCCTCGGGTCCAGGACCACATATTCGTGGTTTCTTCCACTTTGATTCCACCACAGGGCCTCGTCTTACAGTAAATGAAGACATAATGAGTGTTAACACATCATGGAGAACTCAAGAATATTAGCCATGGTGGCAGAAAGTGGGAACGAGGCTGATAGGTTAGGGGGAAATGGTGACTGAGGGAAACTTGTGGGATCTATTCTCATCCCAGAACCATGGCATTATCAAGCCCTGTACCTGGTTTACTGCCCAAGCACCTGACAATCATTTGCTCTACCAACCTGATCTGAATATCTTGGGACCGTACAAGCAGAAATTTGGAACATTATAATCCTGTCTTATGATTTAATAACAGAATGGAGAGATTAGATCTGTCTCTGGCACTGATGCTAGCAGTCGGGAAAAATTACATTGTTCTTAAAGTATTCAAACAACCACAAAGGCAGAAAAAAGAGGGGAGGATGAAACTTCTTTTCTAGGAAATCCTTTTCAGAGAATGGAGACAGATGGAAGTGTTCTGACCTTATGTGAGCTTTGTCGCATGTCTCCTCACAGTTTGGATTTCACTCAGTGCTCATTCATTCAGCAAGCATTTATTAAGAATTTTTCATATGCCACCTACAGTGATAGGTTCTCTGGAAATTTTTAAAAATAGCAGAGTTAATATTTTGCAGTTGATGTTATTAGTAACACTATTAATGTACATCTCGTTATTTATTGAGCATCTACTAGCATGCAAGGAATGTGTTAGGTGGTTTTTATGCATGATCTTATTTAATCCATGCAGCATTATCATATTCGTTTTACAGCAACTTGTCTAAGATCCCACAGCTGCTGACTGTACACAGAGGATTAGAATTCGGTTTGGTCTGAGTCCAGAGCTTGTTCCGTTTTTATTTTCCTGCCTCGTAGGAAGCTAATGATCTAATAGAATCTTCGCTTCCTTCTCTATTTTATATTCTATCCTTTGGAGAGTTTTAGGGACCTCAATTATTTTTTTCTTAATGCTTTATCTTAAAATTCAATCTTATCTGCCTGCGATATAGTAGAGGTTCAATAATTATTTGTTGGAATTTTGATTCATGATGATGACTGCCTTATATTTTTATGGATGCTAAATATACACCTAGTACCATTTACTTCCGAGTGGAATTTACCTAAATTAGTGACTATAATACATTGTAAGTATTAGAGTATATCTGAGACAAGTAACCTTCAAAGAAATAGTGAGTGATAGATTGTAATTAGCTTGAAAAGCTGAAAACCTTACTTAGAATTCACACTGATTTCAGTGTAGGCCACTTTACCTTGTCACAGAAACTTTTAGCTCATCTTAAGTGCTCTATCATTTCTTTTGTGACCTTCTACATGTAACCCTCTAAAACTAAGCAAACATTTATATAATTTTATCAGAATGGATGTGAAAAAATTTTCTTGAATACAGACGTGAAAGAATTTATTCATAAAAAGAGAATTTATGTTTTTTCTTTTATTTATTACTTCTGCCACATTTATAGTAGTGCTGTCATGTAACATACAACATAAGACTCTGATGATCCTAAAGAGACATGTGGTGCTGTGTTTATAGGTGCTATGTTTATATCTATAGCATCTAGATGTATGGGAGAAGCTATGA